GAGCCTAAAACTGACAGAACATCAACGTACGTGTACATGGAGAGACTGGCGTCATAGGTGGACTTCACCCCATAGGTCTCCTCATTGAAGCGGAACATCTCGCTGGCATCCCAGCCATTAGACTGAAAGACAGAAAAGGCCATGTAAAGAGCTTAAAGCTGTGCAACCAATACTTAAAGAAATTTATTCCAGAAATACACTAATATGTGATCACATATGATTGGATATACAAGCATGTTGGTTGAACTCACTGTATCTGCATCTAGGTCAAAATTTTCTCCATTGCTATCGCCACCATCCCACCTTTGAAGCACCTTCTCTCTGTGGTCACCATTTATTCTTGAGCCGATTGCGGAGTCTGTAAAAGTGTCTGAAAACATGCACACAAAGCCTTATATTTCTATATTTTACAACACCATACATGTATACTACTTCTACAGAGTCATGTACACACCTCGGGTAGCATAGTTGAGGTCCACATCTCTGCAGATCATAGTGACGAGGTCATTAGGGCCAAAGATCATGGTGTCCGTGATCTCTTCTCTCCTGGGATGGACTGGTGTGCCTCCGCCACCGCCTCCATCTCCTTCTTCATTTTTCACTTTGTGCACTGCGTCCACTGCCAGCTCACACTAAACACACAAAGACACTGAGTGAGACTTTATCATACATTAAACTTGATGCCTTGTTCATAGACCACCAAAAAAAAAAAGTCAATATCAAAGATTAAATTTGGATTAACAAATCTGAACTTGGTTCAGTGTGAACAAAGCCCATAATTCTATATTTCAGGTATTGAAATATTAAATAAAAGAAAGACTTACACGCGAGCTTAACGTCTTGAAGATTCCCTCATATACACTGCCATTCTTCACCATAACATCGCATCTGGAGCCCTGAGGGAAATATTGCACGCGTGTAAATAATTTTGTTGCTTAATGCTGAAAACAAATTAGAGAAGTAATGGGGTAAATCATATAAAATGTTAAATAATCCAAACAAGCGTAACAATAAGGCAGAACTTTTTACTTTGACAAAACAGGGTTCCCACTGTCTAGACAAGCCTGGATATATGAGGTAGACTACTTTTAAAAGTGTGATTTCCAGACCTGTGAACATCATGTAAATGTATGAAATAGTAATAAAACTCCATGGGCTTTTTAAAAAAGATATTATATATATTTTAGTTATGCCAAGCTCTAAAATACTTTATCAAGTAGAAATTGAGTTCTTATCCAGTAAACCACAAAATCAAAAAAAAAAAAAAAAGTTCTTATTCAGTAAATCAAATCACAAACAAATGAAGAAATCATGGGCCTTTCGAATATTGTTGTGGGCCTTGAAGTCAAAAAGGCTGTGAACCAAAAAAAACATCGAAATTATCAAAGAAGGGTGTTTTCAACAGGCAACAAATAAACAAAAAGTTGAACAATTTATTTCATCCCAAACTCACCACCACGGCTGTGAGAAAATGGAGCATCCGGGAGTTGTTGTACACACCCTCAAACACCTAAAAAAAAAAAAAAGTACTACAAAAATCTTTTAGCATTTGGTGGTCCAAAAATGCAGTCAAATATTTAGAGGATACCAAGGCATTTTATAATCTTAAATGGGAAATTGTGAGTCTAAAAATGTGTAAGGATTTACGTACTGGTGGTGACTAAAATAATTAGTTTATATATATATATATATATATATATATATATATATATGTGTGTGTGTGTGTTGCACCATGCAAATCACCAGGAACGTAAAAAACGAACAACTATAACAGATTTCTGTATATTAAGCATTTATTGTATTCATGAGCTACATCAAATCATAACTATAATGTGAAACACAGCCCCGGTGTTGCAAGCATTGCTCTACTGTTACATGTGTGGACAACAATTATAACACCGCGAAGCGCGTGGTAAAACAAAAGGACAATCATACACGAGCAACAAAATAACGATCAAATTGAATCTAATTGCACAGCACGACAAAATATTATTGTGCAATGTCAATGTGTAAACAAAGGCAACCAAGCGCGTGTTTTAATTACGTCAGACCGCAAAAGCGAGTTATTGGAGCCCACAAACAACACAAGCAAATGCCGTATCGAAGACAAGACAAACAGCTTGCCATTAACGTGCGTAAACGTACACATTTCGCACCCCTGACTACAATCAATCAAAACGATTGTAAAATACGAATGTTTGTACTTTGTCACATGCATCCCGGCTCTTCTTTGAAGGCGTATGTCTAAAATGGCTCAAGTTGAAAGTCGAGCACAATACTGAATCTCATGGGATCGGAAAACAACAACAAAACACTGCTGATCCCTTCCCCGTGACCCGCCTCCGAGAGCAGTCATAAGCTGGAAAAGATGGCAGTCAATTAAAATCTAAATTTTATTGGCTGACAAAATTATTTCTGGGTGGATGTGTACCGATTACGACAATCTTTTCAACCATTGGCTCAAAATTGTGTCACTCAAACATTCTTCGCTGCGATTGGCTAGTGATCCTGCTAATTTAACAAGACCCGAAACAATTGGTGTTCTAGGGAGTAGATCAAGTATGAGCTATGGACAACGCCCACTTTGACCGGTAGGCCTCGTGTTAAAATGACAATCCGCGGACTTTCTGAGCGGGGCAGCCCAACTTCTGCTTTACCTGCCCGGGGTGGGTCTGTTAGAGTTACTCCCCGGAACGGATGAAGCCATTGACCCTGATGTCCCATTGGATGTTTTGCGGCCACCGGGTCCAGGTTGCTGTCAGAAAGCATAACGATTCTTAAATGCTGACACAAATGAAGTATTGAACAAATTTACGTATATTTAAAAGTCTATCCGAGTGGTAATGGCTAGCAGGTTTACTAGCACGTTACGTTAAATAAGAATGTGGAAGCTTAATGGAGAACGACAATATTTGGACCATAAAATCTAATATGAGTTTTAATACGCTCGATTGTATAATTAGTCAATATTAAGTGCAATTTTTAGATGTGGTACTCACGTTCTGTCGGCGAAAAGACATAACTAGCCGCTAACTGAGTTGCCCGCTAAATTCCCCTTGTTGCCTATGACAAGCTAGGAGGTGGACTAGCCTGCCCGCGGTGTTATTTTTGTTATTTTTCCGCAGCGTTCTCAGATCCGCACGAGCGCGATCTCCGTTATAGCCCGAAGTCCAGTTCAGTCCGATATTCTGTCACGAACAGGACACGAAGAGATAAGCCTTATTTTTCTATTAAATATTACCGGCACCACGTCTCGCGAATTAGCCAGCGATAAACGCGAAGGCTGGTTTTTTCAAAAACCCTTGATTGCCATTGGACGACGGCGTAAAACGTAGGGTGATGACGCAATGGCGTACAAGACCCGTATCACGTCGACAGCCACACATTAAAGTTTAAACGTGCTTTGCAAAAGAATCGTCCATACTAATAAGAAAAGTGCAGTAAAGTCAAATTTCTCAGTTCATCTATCTATCTATCTATCACAAACACAACTCAAGACATATTGTTTCAGTATAATTATATTATATCATCATCATTTAATTCAATGTAGTACCTGAAACTAATTACACAGAGTGGGTAACAATGCCCACCTTAACACACGGTCCCAGCACAGACAGACAGATAAGAGAAGAGAAAAGAGAGAGAAGGCACAATAAAAGGGGGGAGCATGGGGCAAATGGAGAGAAAACAAATCATAACAAATGATCTGTAGGATCAAGAAGAGAACAACTGAAAAAGCTGAGACAGAACAAGAGAGACAAAGCAGGAGAATACAGATGCAGGCACTGAACTGGATGGCAGACACCGCAAAAAAGACTGATTGAGGCACAAAATCAAGAATGACTGGCACAAAACAAGAGGGAACGACAATTAACAACACGAAAAGGCACAAGAAGAAAGGGGCTCTTTATCTTTTTTTTTCCTTTTCAAAAGTTTTCCTGAAATCTGTGGAAACTGAAGCACAGTTTGAAGGAGACAGAATGAGGTTAGAAGAGATAAAAAGGCACAAAAAATTAGAAACAGAAAACAGATTTTGGAGAACAAATATTATGTTCATATAATAAACAACAAAAATAAAGGCATTTTGAAACAAACAAAAAATAATACTATTATTTGGACAATTATTAAATTAATAATTATTATCATCATCAGTTATTATCATTTTTGTATTCAATAACAATTTCTTTTTTTAAATGAAGGACATTCTCTCTCCCTCTGGACTCTGGCTTAAAAAAAAAAAAAACGCACCAATAAAACCAAAGACTGTAAAGCTAAAAGGAAGGGTAGGATGTAAAGACGGAGAGGGAGAAAGAGAGGGAGAGCAGAGGAGCTGGGCAACAGATCAGGACTCTGAGGTAATAATGGAGACTATGGAGATGTTTAATATTGTAATTAACCTTAAGAAGTAACACTACTGGACTTCAGAGAACTGGGCTTGAATGTTTTTGGCAAAAAATGGATGTTGTTAAACTTGAAGCAATGCTTGCTACTGAACTAGCAAAATCAGTACAATTGAAATGAAAAGTTATTAATTTGTGACATTCGTAATTTGTCAGTGGCAGAACAAAAAGAAAACAGCTTAAACAGCTTCAGTAATAATAATAATAATACTAATAATAATAACAAGAGTGCTGGTGGGTAACAATCTCCACTCACCTGAGGGGAAAAAGAAACTCCTTTTCTATAAGTGCGAAGGGTCAAAGAATACTAGACATCTAAATCAATAAGTGAGTCCGACACTGTAATGACTTGACATTGCGATGTCGTGAAGGACTCTTCAAGAAATAAGTTGCTAAAAACACAACACTAGCTCAGTGACGGCACTGACACTTTCGTACCTTCCTTATGCAGCAGCACCAGAGGAACTTTCGCACTGACAAACACTGGAGAACGAATTAGTAAAAGCTGACCAACATTTTCACAATGCACCTCCAATTTAGTGTAGTACCGTTACTTGGTGTTTAAAAAAAAAAATGTACCGTCAGTATCATATATGCTTATGTGTTTGGGTGTCTCTCTCTCTTTCTCTCCATCTCTCTCTCGCACCATGAAAGCTCATGTTTAATAGTGTTAATAACTCGGTCGTGTGACCCATCGGTCAGTTCTTCCACTGGAGAATACTGAAAACTGATTGTGAAGGGCTCTCCTCTATCCCACCTCGTTGTTCTCCCCGTTTTAGAAGAAGGAGTACTGGTTGTCGATGGCTCTCGCTCTCCCTCCTTCTCTCTCCTCGCCCTCCACCCCTTCCAGCTGGAGGAGAGGCGGCTCCCGCTCCCGTTCCTCGCACTCTTCCGCCCCGCTGCTTGCTCCGGCGGCCTCTGTTAACAGAAACAGCCAATCAGAGCTCTGATATGCACTATGGAGAAAGCCAGAGGCTGAAGCGGGACGAGGGGAGGGAGAGGAGCAGAGGAACGCTATGAATTAGTGAGTGACCAGAGATCAAAATGAAGGAAGGCAATGGTGATGGAAAGAAGAATGGAAGATAGTAGAAGAATAGGAGAAAAGATGCACTGAAGGAGAAGTATAAATGTAGCGTCTAGATCAGGGGTCACCAAACTTGATCCTGGCGGGCCGGTGTCCTGCAGAGTTTAACTCCAACTTGCCTCAACACACCTGCCTGCAAGTTTCAAGTACGGTATACCTAGTAAGAGCTTGATTAGCTGGTTCAGGTATGTTTAATTAGGGTTGGAGCTAAACTCTGCAGGACACCGGCCCTCCAGGACTGAGTCTGGTGACCCCTGGTCTAGATGATATAAAGTGATGAAAAGGAAATACAGGATGGAGGGCATGATGAGGAAATAGTAGGTAAGGTGAGCTGAGGAATGTTTTGAACGTTTCAAGAGAAGTTTAGTCTGGTAATATGTCAGGTCAAACACACAAAAATCAAATTAAGAGACAATCATTGTCAAAAACAAAAAAAACAAAGCCATGCACAGCCAGCCAACAGCTGACTCTGGCAGCAGCGATGGATCCGTGTGTGCGTGAGTAGTCGTAGCAGATGCTTGCACAATGTGTCCTTTCAAAAGCATGCCGTGACAGGAAGTGATCTCACACACAGGGTGATCCCAAATTTAGTCATATCTCTGTGACAGGTGCAAACAACTCATGCAGTGGCCATGTTGTTTATGAATACACACATACACAAATACACATATGATCACTCTCCAGATTCATCCCACTCACATGACACACACAAGCTCAGTGCCAAAGACTGTCTGTGTCGCTAAAATCTTCCCAGGATTCAAGACAATCAAACTGACAGGAGATGAATGCCTTCAAAGAAATCTTTCTTGTTATTTTTTTCCTTTCATGGGCCCACCAGGATCTCCCCCAAAACAGCTGTTTAACTTAACATTTATGTCTTAATTAGGGCTGTCAACTGATTAAAGTAATGTGATCAATCACATTGTCATAGTTAATGCAGTCATACTACTCTCCCTCACAAAAACAAGTCAATATTTCTGAAATGGTATCAAAATGCACAGGAAATGCAAACATATGATATGATATAATAATTCAACAGTAAAACAACCTGAGTCATAGTTTATGGATGTCATGTCACATGTGGTGTGAAGGTGCAGACTCGTGTACGCATTAACATTTCTATGCATGGCAGTGATTCACTCTTGGGTGATATTTCACTCGAGTATCAATAATAATTTAATTTGACCATACTAAGAATGCAAATGACTTTACCTTTGCAAAATGTATCATCTGGGTTTCATTTATAAATGAATAACCTATAAAAAGGGTTTTTCTGCATCAGAGACTTGTATTTCAAATCAGTTTCAATCAGCTTTGAAGTTTCTGAGCTTTTCAAAAATCACTAAGAACAGAAACTAAATTGTCAAATTATATACATGCTAACAATTGCTTTAGAAAATGTAACATTGTTATACATTTAATCACAAGTGTTATATTTAAAAACCCCATGTATAATTCAGTGTATAAAATATCAAATAAACTAATAAACAAAGTCTTGGATATATAGTCAGTGTATTTATATCCATTTTTTATCCATTCAGCTGTTCTGAGGGAGATGCAAGTGTCACCTGTGATCACTTACCTGCCTGTGCTCTCACAAAGTATCTGTCATCTAAAAATGCAGCATTTCCCTGTTATCTATGCTCTGCTGTAAACCCTCATGCCTTAAAGTTGAGCCCAGCCTTCCATACCTGGTTGCCGGACATTCGTGGCCCCCACAAAGCTGATGAGGGTGACATCAGAGGCACCCCCAGACTCCAGGGGAATGGGGTGCACACGGAAATGCTCCAGCATGTCAAAAATGGACTGGAACCAGAGATGCTGCACACGACACTGTCCATCCTCGTTCAGGGAGAGACGCAAGTGCTGGAAGAAAGATGCCAGAGCAGAAGGAAGAGATATTTACTCTATAAAGTGGTTTCGTAACACATACTGATACTCCTCATCAGATGTACACTACCGCTCAAAAGTTTGAAATGAACAATTTTATTCAGAAAGGGTGCATTAAATTGTAGAGATGGACCGGTGGATTTTACCAACAGTGATAACTGACTGATAACATTAACATTAATCAGTAGACCTCTATTAAATTGTTATAAAACGGATAGTTCCGGTCCTTGATTCTGATTGGTTGAGCCACGTTCGAAGCTGTTGTAAATTACTCTACAAACATACACCTTCGTTTACGTACCACTTTGTTGCAACCACAACGGTTTCTGAGGAACTACATGGTTTGGTGGAAGAATACTGTTTTTATTAATATCATTACAATTTATTGCTCTGTTTTATTCTGTGAAACCTTACTACGTATATGGAATAACCGTTTTTACTCCGCTTCGCGTCGTGCCTAACAACGCCCCTTAGCTGTTATAAATTCACTGTAAACCACGGCTTCTTGGGGCTTATTGCTTTAATAAACATGTCAGTCTCAGTAAGACTTTTATGTTACAATTTCTGTTCCAAATAAATGCTGTTTTTCTGAACTTTCTATTCGCATTTCTTTTCTATTCAATCCTGAAAAAAAAAGTATTGCCGTCTAAAAATATTAAGCAGTTTATCAAGCAAACTTTATCAAAAAAAGACTGGTAAGAAGAAATGTTTCCTGAGCATCAAATAAGGATATTAGAATGATTTCTGAAAGTTCATGTATCTGGAGTAATGGCTGCTGAAAATTCTGCTTTGCCATCACTGAAGTTAATTACATATTTAAATGTATTCAAATAGAAAACAGTTATTTTAAATTGTAATTATATTTCATAATATCTTTCTTTTTGATCAAATAATTTCAGCATTGGTGAGCATATAAAAAAAAGCAACTTACTGACTTCAAACTTTTAAAT